TATAAAGAAAATTTGTATAAAATATAGCTATTTATATGAATATATAGATTAGTATATATAATTGTAAGAATAACATAAAAGATAATCGCGGACGTGGACGGGTCACGAGCACTACAATGAATGCTAATGGCATTACACTAAACGAGTTGGCCGAACTAACTCATTATTTGCTGTTGCCTTGTCTTATACCACTTCATTCTCATATTATTCATTTTTTATAATCCACTTGGGTCTTATATATGTGTGTCCCCTAGCTATTATGCCCTCAATTTCGGGACGTTACACCATTCACTCAAAAAAGAAAAAAAAATATGGATAATAGTAATTAATTGAATTTGATAAATTAAAAGCATATGCTTCATTTCAGTTCGACGTATGTTTTTATGAATTGTTCGGGTGAATTTCGATAATTTTCGGATAAAATAAATTTTAAAATTAGATATAACAATTAATTTTGAAATAAAAATAATTATATTTAAATCGATTAATTTATGATCTCTTAAATATAATAATAATAATAATTCTAATCCAACTAATATTCAAGCCTCTAATAAAATGGAAAGCGATTGAAAGAAGATATGTATGCGAAGTATGGCCTAAGGCGTTGGACCAAAGGAAGTGGCAAATGAAACGACAAAGCCTCAATAAATACATTATAATTATTATTGGTAGATGGAAATGAGGTCTCGCTGGTTCCAAGCACCCTTACCTTTTTTTATTATAAAAGAATTAATATACTTTCTAAATTCAATTTAAATACTCCGTATTTATATTTTTTTATTCACATTTTGATTTTTTTTATAATTTCATTAATATTCAATGCTTTATTTTTATTATTTTATTTATTAATATAAACTATTTACATAAGTCGTTAAGGGGAATGTTGTTTTTCTAAAGCTCTTGGGTTTAAGTGATTGCGTCTACTTATCAATTGATTAAAAAACTTATGAACATATAGTATATTATAATCAATAATCACTCTATAATATTAAAAAAAACATAAATAGTTAACCTCCTGATTTTGAAATATTCTTTTATGTGAAGATCATTAAACAAACTAAAATATCACACTCAAACAATTCTTCCATTGTTCTTCATTTTAATTCCTTCAAATAATTAAACATGTGACTTTGTATAAAGCTTTCTTTATTTCATAACATTTTGTATTATATATATTTTAAAATCGATGGTCTTTCAATAATTTTTGTCAAGTGATGTTTAACTTGGATTTAGGGTTTTTGTAAATAAATAATAATTTCTGTATATTCAGAATTTGAATAAAATAAAACAAAACTCGTCAGGTGAGACCATTAGACAGTTAGATGCAGTTGAGAGAAAATTTATTTATGTTTCATTAACCTGCTCATTGTCGTACTTGGTGAGACCTTTTTCTTAAAATAATATTATTTTATTCACATCTAAACGTAAATATTAAATACGAATTATCAAATATATTTTAAAAAATTAGAATTTAATTAGCGGACCTTAAAATATTTAATAACAAAAAACAAAAGAAAAAGTGGAAGCAAATATAAAATTAAAGAATTTCTTCTTTTTTTTCAACATAAAAAAGAGGAAAAGAGGAATGAGAAAAGTGAAGCCCGTGAACGTTGCATGTGATATTGAAGAGCTGTCAAAATCAGTCCTCACATACAAATAGACCCGCTCCCGTGTCCCCTTTTGGCCTTCTTTTACATTAAAAATATATTCTTACGTACATATTAAATTATTATAACCCAATGAGGAAATCTGTATTAAATAAAATAACCGGCTGCCGATGCAACAGTAACCCCAATTTGATCCCTTTTTTAATTTAACAATTATGGATGCTGTATAATCATATGGTATTAATATATATGATGCTGAAATTTATATAATTGGTTTATAAAAAATTATAAAAATGATGTAATAAACATTAGAATAACTTGTAAAAAATTGATGTAAACATAATGAAACAATCGAATATTTAACCAACGAATCACCATTTTGCAAGATATAGCAGAAAGGTTGAAACGAAAAGGTTCAAAGGGAATGGAACAGGACATATATCTGTTACTAGTCGCATCCAATGGTTAATTTTCAAAACAACATGAATTTTTCTAAATTTAATTAAAACGGATAAAAATGGACCGGGAAGTGTACACTTCTGTTAATAGTCACATCTCATATGCTATTTTATCAACAACCAAAAATGAAAATATCAAATAGGCAAAGGATAAATAGATAGATTATTTTTTTATATTATGGAAAAATAAGATAATCAATACTGATATAAAGAAAAGAGAGGGAAGAAGGAATGAAACATAAATACAAAGGATTACCAAAGCATTTTCTTTTGAAAGTTTTGCTTTATGTCTGAGTAGTCCTCGTTGCTTTGGAATCCTCTCCCTATTTAAACACCAACCATATTTTGGCTCTCAAAGCATAAGTCTCCCTCTGTTTCTCTCTCTCATTCTCTGTTTCTTCTCTGTTTCTCACGAAAAGCGGGAAGAAAAGAAAACAATGGGTGGAATTAGCTTCAGAAGCTTCACATTCATGGTTTTAATTGCATTACTCGTATGGTGTTCTAGTATTGAAACTTGCATTGCAAGAAGAGGCAAGCATTGGAGGCAGAGCAGGTATGCTACTGCATCGCTATCTAAGAAGAAAGGATCGAGTCATGGTCACGGACATCGCAATTACCACAACGGAGGATCAAAGCCTAAGCCTCCTCCTCACTCCCACAAAGCTACCCCGTCTCCTAAGCCTAAAGAAGAAGTCACCCCTTCAGTCCCTCCACCTCACAAAGGTTACGGCTATGGACAGCAGTCTACCGTATTCAACGTCCTCAATTTTGGCGCTAAAGGCGACGGGGAAACTGATGATACTAAGGTCAGGATGTCGACTTCTTCTCATTTATAATGCTCAACACAAATGTTCAATGTGTTGCTTAAGACTAAGCATTTGACATTACTTTAGGAATATGGCCAAAGACACTATTTATTCCCCAACTAAATCAAACAAAAATAAGCTCTATGTTGATTCATTCATCACTTGTATATGAAGGGGAAGGCATTCCAAAGTTCTCATACTATTTATTTTCTATGCATTGTTTTGGTCATGAAAGTTTGATTTAAGGCAAGTTATTATAGTTCAAAATGCATCTCATGCACTTGCATATAAATAAATAAAAATTATTCGAAAATAACTAGGAGTATGTAGGTGAAAAAATAAAGCTTTTTATTTCTTTTAGAAAAAAGAAAGAGGGGGTAATACCATAAAAGTTTTTTAAAAAAAGTTGGCAAAGAAGAACTGATTGGTTAGAATATAGTCATATGAAATGCACAAAAAGTTCATGTGGAAACAAAGAAAAGTTAGTAAAATATGTGGTAGAAAGAAGAGAGAGCAAAACTAACACAAGTGGGGCCATGCCAATATGAAGAATGATTCTCTTTAGGCAGTTTAGCCGCTGTTGGTATGCAATAATCACTATAGCAGCAGTTAACCAACACTCAACTGTAATTATTTGCCTTTAGTTAATATGATCTTAGCCTCCGAGCTGACTTACTATGGTGCAAAGCAGGCATTTCAAGATGCATGGGCAGCTGCATGTAAGGTGGAGGCATCAACTGTTGTTGTTCCATCCAAATCCGTGTTCCTTGTAGGACCCATTTCATTTTCTGGTCCATACTGTCAAGCAAACATTGTATTTCAGGTAAAACCATGTGAGATCTTCATTTCTCCTGCTTTGTTGGACAACTGAGTCAATGACATGCAGGTAGCACTGTCAAATAAAATTGGAAAGATAAATAATAATAGCAGCTTGATGCCAACTGCCAAGTGAAATGAAGTACCTGCAGCAGTTTGTGATTGCCATAGTAGTATAAAAATTGATGCTTGATCAATCCTGATGCTGATTTTTTTTTCTCTCAGCTGGATGGCACAATTATTGCTCCAACTGACTCTCGACCCTGGGGTAAAGGCATTTTACAGTGGCTCGAGTTCTCAAAGCTAAAAGGTATAACGATTCAAGGAAAAGGTATCATTGATGGAAGAGGCTCAGGGTGGTGGCAAGATGCCCCATATGAGATCCATACGATGATGAATGGAAACTCATAATTCCGTTAAACAGCACAGTTCAAGAAAGGCCTCCGATGCCGGTAGTTACCTAATTCAGTTTCTACTTGCACCTGAAATTTTATGGTGATTGTCTGTAAACTAATCACATTTCTCCCATAACTGCATTGACAGGTCAGAAATGAACTCAGTGGAAAAATGCCGAGCATCAAACCAACTGTAAGAAGCACTTGGAACTTTGAAAAAAACCAACCATATTCCATGACTATGCAGTCCTGACATTTTCTTACCTTCCGTTGTACAGGCACTAAGGTTTTACGGGAGTTTTAACGCGACAGTCACAGGCATAACAATTCAAAATAGTCCTCAATGCCATCTCAAGTTTGATAACTGCATGGGAATTGTGGTGCATGATATTACCGTCTCGTCTCCTGGGGACAGTCCTAACACAGATGGCATCCATCTACAAAACTCCAATGATGTGCTAATTCACAGCAGTGATCTTGCCTGCGGTAATTATTTAAATTATCTTGCTAGTATATAGTTATTGTTGCCATACCACATTCAGTTAAACCACAGAGATCAAAGGTTGCGCTTCAGCCATGACAAAGAAAGGAGTAAGACCTGTGAGTCAACAATGAGGATAAAGACTTAAGATAAAACCTTGTGAACAACTGACAGTATCATAGAAAAGGTTCTGAATTGAGGTATCTCTGATGGGATCCTGAAAGAAGCATATCACAAATCTTATCCTGCTCACAATTTTATTCCACACATTCTTCATCACCAATAATAATTTGACAAGTGCATGCCAGCAATATCCAAACTTCAAGAGTTACAGTCACTGGTCACTTGACGTGTCATATTCAGAAGAATGGAGTGGCGACAACCACCCAAAATAGGATTAGGGTTGAACCAGAGACAGAGAATACATATTTGTTTCATTCACTCAAGTTTTCCATGTCTTGTCTTTACTAACAGCTAGAACTTTTTGTTTTGATCCCCTAGCATCTTGTCTACTTCTACTTAAAAACAGGTTCTCATTAATTAATAAGATAATAAGAGGCCCTCATAGATCTAATGCTTCCGACAAATGCTTAACTGAATTAGATCTGAAAACAGAGCTAAATGACAAAGAACATAAAAGGTATCTATTTTTGTGTTTACGCTAACCTGAGCTCTAAAAAATCTAATAATTGTTGCAGGGGATGACTGTGTTTCCATACAAACAGGATGCTCAAATGTATACATTCACAATGTGAACTGTGGACCAGGGCATGGAATCAGCATTGGAAGCTTAGGAAAGGATAATACCAAAGCCTGTGTCTCAAACATCACTGTCCGAGATATCATTATGCGTAACACAATGAACGGTGTCAGAATAAAGACATGGCAGGTAACTAATACAAACTTCACCCCTCCCCCCAACAATTAAAAACCCATCAAGTTTAAAATATAGCCATCAGAACATTGTTTGAGTAAATGAGCTGAACTGGATTTTAATTAAATGCACCTAAAACTCTGTACTTTAACCATACTTAACAAAAAAACTGGCTTTAGACAATATATTACTAGCTACTTGTAACCTCAAATTCATGTGTGGTGAAAAAACATACATATATGCAAAGCATGATCTCTTTTGCCGATATGATCTTCACTAATCCAATATAAAAGGCATCTTATTCCTTTATATTTTAAAAATGTCATCAAAACAATTTTGCTTATTTCTGGGTTTTTTTATTCTTATATACACAGAATTACTCTTTTGAATTTCACTTCCATTCTCAATACATTTCAATTTTCCATAATCTGAGTTCCTAACACTCCAAGTTATTTTTACAACTCTAGGTTGCTAGTAACTTTTCTTATAATCTCGAATCACATCTGCAGGGTGGATCTGGCTCTGTTCAGGGGGTTCTGTTCTCAAATATTCAAGTTTCTGAGGTCCAACTTCCGATTGTGATCGATCAATTCTACTGTGATAAAAGGACATGTTCGAATGAAACAGCTGCAGTCGCTCTATCAGGAATCACCTATGAAAAAATAAGAGGAACATATACAGTAAAACCAGTTCACTTCGCCTGCAGCGATAGCCTTCCATGTATAGGTGTAACCTTAACTGCCATTGAACTAAAGCCCCTGCAGGAACGTTACCACCTCTACGATCCATTCTGTTGGCAAACTTTCGGAGAGCTGACCACCCCTACTGTCCCTCCAATCGGTTGTTTACAGATTGGCAAGCCAGCAAATAATAGAGTCCAATCTGATCATGATGCGTGCTGAACTTTTAGTCTTCGATAATTCATCTGGTGTATTCACTTGTGTGGTCGGCATGGTTCTCCTGACCCCTCACACCATTCGTTTTATTCAGTATAGAGTGTATATTTAGGCCTCATCCTAGTTTATAGGCATTTTTCTTAGATGGGATCACACTAGTTCCCAGCCCCCCTATGAAAGATTATACAAGCATGTTATCATTTAGAGTCCAATACTGGAGTACAAGACTGTATTGTTCATTAAGGCATATTACACAAATGCATTATCCACTAAATGTTCAGTTCATCAATAAATCAATATAATATATAGAGATGTATTGTTTTTGTTTTTTGGGAGGCGGATTTAAGATTTAACATTCACTTGAAAGATTACAGGGCACAAACATAACGTTAAACTAAACTGAACATGCAAAAATCTGTATCTAATAAAGCAAACAAATGTAGTCACGCATTGACAAAGAATCACACAACAAACAAGTATGAAGCTCAGATTAGCATATTATCTTCTTAGAAACAAATTATTTATCAAAAGCAACAAGCTATTACAAACAATAACTATCAATATATACCGAAGATGGGAACCATGAACTATAAGCGAGCGGGGGGATCGGCAACCAGCTCTTTCATTAGATGACATGATTTGTTCTCTGAATCTGACAAGTGTTGCAGAAGACGTCTATCGGATAGAGCAAAATCGCAACTAATAATTTGAGAAAATAAAAATAAGATAAAGAAGACACAAAATTTACGTGGAAAACTCCTAAATAATATAGAGTAAAAACTACGGGCAACGGTAGAAGAATTTCACTATGAGAAAATAGGAATTACAATCTCTCTCGATCTACCAAGAAAAAAACAATGATAATTCTCTCTTGATAAAAAGGAGAAAACAACTCACAAGAAACTCTCTAAATTCTCTAGTATTGGGAGAAAGCTAGAATAATTTGGGATAATTTTGAAGCTAAATGAGTTAGGGTATTTATAGTTGAAGCTTAAGGACTAATCTTATAAATACCCTAAAGTCTAGGGACTAAGGTTTGTGATTTTACCACTTCAAAATTCAACATTTCTTGCGCCTAATTTTTTAAAATCAATTTTGTGCTTTCGGTGGATATTTTTTCCACCTTTTCGGTGGATTGTCAACAATCTCCCACTTGAAGATTTAATTGGAACAATCATATCTTCACACCATTCTTTCTACCTTGTACATTTATGTTGCTTACGTTTCTGATAGGCCACAAGAGGATCGACACCAAGTAAATTTATCAACATTGATCGCCTTCGTCATGAAATATGCTATGTTGTCTTTGGTATGAATCTTCTGCATATCTACCGTCCATTCTTCCACCTTTTCATGAATGAAATGGTATTGAACTCGTATGTGTTTTATCCTTGAATTAAATGTTGGACTCCTTGCTAGATGCAAGGCGCTTTGACTGTCACAAAACAGAGATACATACTCTTGATTGTGCCCAAGCTCCTCCAATAGCATTTTCAACCGATTGTTTCTTTATTGGCTTGTGTAGCTGCTACATATTCTGCCTCTGTTGTGGACGTAGCCACAACTGACTGCAATTTTGAAACCCAACTTACAGCTCCACCAGCAACTTTGAACACATATCATGTAGTATATTTGCTTTTATCCAAATCCTCTACATAATCAGAATCTACATACCCATTGATTAGTAAGTTTGATCCTCCGTAACATAATGCAACATTTGAGGTCCATTTGATGTATCTCAAGATCCTCTTTACTGTATTCCAATGCTCTTTGCCTGATTCGCCATGTACCGACTAACCACTCTCACGGCTTGTGTAATGTCTGGTCTTGTGCATATCATAGCGAACATTAAACTTCCCACTGCCGATGTATACGACACTCGAGACATCTTCATCATCTCTTCTTCACTGCTAGGACTCATACTGGAGGATAATTTGAAGTTAATAGGAAGGGGTAGAAATTGACTTACAATCTTGCATGCTGAATCGTGACAAGATCTTCTTCAAGTAATTCTTTTGTGAAAGCCAAATCTTCATATTACTTCTGTCTCGGTGAATTTGCATCCCTAGAATCTTGTTTGCTGATCCCAAGTCTTCATTTCAAATTCCCTAGCCAGTTGTGCCTTCAATTCTTCAATATGATCTTTGTTGGGTCCTGCAACCAACATGTCATCCACATACAACAGAAAATAACAAAATCTTTATCACCAGGCCTCTTGAAATAAACACCTCGGCGCCTGCTTTAGACCGTACAGAGATTTGTTCAACCTGCAAACCAAGTTCTTCTTTTCTTTTTCTTCAAAACCTTCAGGCTAGAACATGTAAATCTCTTCTTCAAGATTTCCATGAAGAAAAGCTGTTTTAACATTAGCTGCTCTAGATGTAAATTCAATGTAGCACACATTGCCAAAACTACTTGAACTGTTGTTAGTCGAACCACAGGAGAAAAGATTTCATTGAAATCAATATATTCTTTCTGAGCATATCCTTTGACCACCAGTTTTGCACGATACCTTTCAACTTGATCGTCACTATTTCGCTTAATTTTGAAGACCCATTTGTTACCAATTGGCTTCATTCCTTGTGATAGTGGCACAAGGTCCCATGTATTATTTTTATGAAGGGCTTCAATTTCTTCTTGCATCGCCATCATCCACAGTGAAGCATCTGAGCTATTTATTGCCTCTTGATATGTTGATGGCTCACCATCATCTGTTAAAAGGCAGTATGCAATATTTCCTTCTATAACATAATCTGAGTGTCAATTGGGACGTCTTCTCACACTATCTGATTGGCGAGTTATTGGAGCTTTAGAATTCTATGGTTCTTGTTCATCATGTGTTGGTTCTGCTTCAGAAGAATCTCCTTGTACATATTCTTTTTCCACATGTATCTGAGTAGTCTCTGACTTTTCAGCGCTATCATCGTCTTATTTTCTTTGTAGTTTATCTTCTACAAAGATAACATCCCTGCTGATGATCACTTTACGGACAGTGAGATCCCACAAGCGATACCCATTTACACCATCATCATACCCCAAGAATTTGCATTTCCTGGATTTTGGATCTAGCTTTGAAATTTCTTGGGAGTTGTACATCACGTACACAATACTTCCAAATACATGGAGGTTTGAATAATCAGTTGGTTTACCAGTCCACATCTCCATTAGTGTCTTCAGCTCTATTGCAGTTGATGGAGATCGATTCACCAAATAACAGGCGGTATTGACTGCTTCTGCCCAGAATGATTTTTCTAGGCATGCATCCCTCAACATTGCTCTTGTTTTCTCTAACAAGGTTCTGTTCATCCGCTCTGTCACTCCATTTTGTTGAGGAGTGTTCGCCACTGTGAACTGTCTTTTGATGCCTTCTTTCATGCAAAAGTCATCAAATTCTTCGTTTGTGTATTCTCCTATATTATATGTTCTGAAACACTTGATCTTATTTCCAGAATCAAGTTCCACCCACGCTTTGAAGTTTTTGAAAGTTGAAAACACATCTGACTTCTTCTTAATAGGGTACACCCAACATCTCCTGGAGTAGTCATCAATAAATGAGAAAAAGTATTTTGCTCCGCCTAGGGATGTAGCTGGTGCTTGCCATATGTCAGAGTGAACCAATTCTAGAACACTTTTGCCTCTAGAATTTGATGTGTTGAATTTCAATCGGTGCTGCTTACTTGTTATGTAATGCTCACACAAAGTAAGTGATACTTTTGTTAAGCCTAGAAGTAGCCTTTGCTCCACAATGACTTTCATTCCTTGTTATGACATGTGTCCAAGTTTTTGATGCCATAGCATTGTAGAATCTGAACTACATGAGGCAATAGAGGCTTCTGCTTCTAGCAAAGTTTCTCCCTTCAGGATGTACAAGTTTGTGCTATCTTTCGCCTTTCAACACCACAAGCGCTCCACGGAACACCTTCATGATTCCTTTCCGTGTTTCAATATGCTTGCATTATTATCCAACAATCCATAGGATAATAAATTTTTCTTCAGGCGTTTCACGTGCCACACATATCGAACAACTTTAATTATTCCATCATACATCTTCAATTTGATGGTTCCCAAGCCAACATCTCTAAGGCATGATCATTGCAACTATACACAGATCCTCCTGAGACAGGTTCATAATGATGGAACCATTCTCTTCTTGAGGTCATGTGATATGTTGCTCCCGAATCAATGAGCCAAATATCTGCAAATCTTTTTCTGCCTTCCACGGTGGTTGTCGCTTCACAGCATAGAACATCTCCATCATCTGAAGTGTTTGCGGTATTGCCTTGTGGATTGGAGTTTTTATTTAGACTCCAATAATCCTTCTTCAAGTGACCATTCTTTCCACAGTTGTAGCACTTTAAATTCTTCTTGCTCCTCGACTTCGATCTACCATGTTTATGACTGCTGCTTTGGTAACGTTCTGTTGATCTCCCTCTCATCATTGTCAACGCTTCTGCTTGTTGTAGATTTACTTGTCTGTCTGCCTTGTTCTTGCACCGATTTTCTTCTTGTAGAACAGCAGCTGCAACGTCATCAAAGACTAGACTGGTGATATTACTATTTATCAAGTTGATGATGAGTTGTTCATACGAATCTGGTAGACTTTGAAGTTGAAGTTCAGCACGTTCTTGTTCTCTATTGAACATCTTAAGGATGTAAGCTGAGAAAATAACGTGTTCAGTGTGTTTAAGTGCTCCGTCACTGAAGTAGATTCTGACATCCGGAGAGTGTACAATTTCCTCTTAAATAAAATTTTATTGTGCAACGACGTGTCCTCGTACAATTTGGTGAGATGATCTCATATCTCCTTAGATGTCTTCTCCTCCTCAATGCTTGACAATACTTCATCTGTTAATGTCAGATGAAAGTTTGCCAATGCAATCCCTTCCATTTGTTGTCATCTGTGAAATCTACTGGCCTTTTACTGATAGCTGCTAGACAACCGTCTTTCCTCAGGAAGACCTCATCTTCAATTTCCACAGTGAGAAATTTCTTCCATTGAATTTTTCAGTATCAAATTTTGTTGCTATAGCTTCTATTACGGATAGCTCCCACTATTTCACTATCATGAATAGTTCTCTGGAACCTTCAAAGAATAAGTAATACCTTCTTATTTTCTTATGTTAGAGGATCTACCTTTTGGTGGCAACCACAAAGACAATAAGCAGATATTACACACTCAAATCTGGCTCGAATATAAATTGTTGCGGAAGACGTCTATCGGATAGAGCAAAATCGTAACTAATAATTTGAGAAAATAAAAATAAGATAAAGAAGACACAAAATTTACGTGGAAAACTCCTAAATAATATAGCGTAAAAACTACGAGCAACGGTAGAAAAATTTCACTATGAGAAAATAGGAATTACAACCTCTCTCGATCTACCAAGGAGAAAACAATGATAATTCTCTCTTGATAAAAAGAAGAAAACAACTCTCAAGAAACTCTCTAAATTCTCTAGTATTGGGAGAAAACTAGAATGATTTGGGATGATTTTGAAGTTAAATGAGCTAAGGTATTTATAGTTGAAGCTTAAAGACTAATCTTATAAATACTCTAAAGTCTAGGGACTAAGGTTTGTGATTTTACCACTTCAAAATTCAACATTTCCTGCGCCTAATTTTTGACAATCAATTTTGGTGCTTTCGGTGGATATGTTTTCCACCTTTTCGGTGGATTGTCAACAATAAGTTATGAATTTATATACACAATTAAACAAACAATTCATGTACAATTTAAGCAGGCAGGCTAACAAAATCAATCAACCAACGGGATAAAACAAACAAGATGAGTAATTAGGGTGCCGACAGATGGACGATAGGAGATCGATCGTCGTCTCTTACCTTTTCTTTATCTGTAATTTCCTTCGAATAGCTGATTATATAATATTATTAAATTTTACATTGTTACTACCTGTGAATCCCTAGCCATGCGTATCCCTTGTCTAGACGGACTATACACATGTAAGACGAATATCACGAGCAACTAATGACGGTCACTTGTCGGGCACCTTATACGCTTACGAACATAATCTGCGCACGAGCTTCATCAACCATGTATTGATACACGTGATCGATATCGATGACTAGCTAATTTATAACACTACTTGGGACGTCCAATCAAAACCAATGTCACGACAACTCTCAAACAATGCATGTACAAAGCGTTATAAAAAACCATATTGACAAAAAAAAGGAGAATCTCAAACGAAATACCAGACACATTTGACTAGAACTTCTCTAATTACCATAAGAGCTACCCTTAGACCGCCCTACACGGTTATTGGTGGACTATACACATGCAAAGCGAACCCAACAACTAACGGCAACCACGTGTCGGGCACCCCTAACACTTACGAACATAACTTGGCACAAGCTCTATCAATCACGTATCGATACACGTGATCAATATCAATGACTAACTAGTTTATAATACCACCTAAGACGTCCAATCAAAACCAATGCAACGAAAATTCTCAAACGACGCTTGTTTAGAGCATATTAGAAAGCCATACAGATAAAAGAGATGATTTCATTCGAAATATCAGACTCATTTAAAAAAGAAGATAAATTTGTTAACAAACTTAATGAGTAATGAGTTAAGTAACAATATTTTTAATAAACACAAATCAAATAAAAATTTATCAAACCTATCAAGTATCAAATCTAATTAAATATGAAATAAATAATATTAAATCAAGTCGAACACTATTTAACTTGTAATTGACTCGTTCGATAGACCCCTGGTTGAGAGCATGAACGGCGCGTTTCAATAAACCCCCGCCAATCCATAAAACGCAGCGGCTTGCATAGCGAACAACGTTCGTAAAAAACATCTTTTCATCTTATCTTATCTGATTTCTCAACAAAAGCGTATGAAATCTCAATCACATCTACGGTGGCCGCTCGCTAACGCCATCCCTCCTCCCCGGTCTCACTTCTGCCTACTCTCCACCAACCCAATAAAATAAAAAAGACTAAAACCATCCTGCATTACAATGGCCAAGATTTCAGACAAGGACCTCAACGCCGTAACGAGAAGGATTGCAACCATCTCCAACCATCTCCTGTTGCCGATCAGTTCAGGCTCGAATTCCGGTTCGAGCGGTGGTTCTATCGGGCTGTGTAATGCTTTCATGGATGATAGCTATCATAGAATCCATGGTGAAGTTGCAAGCCATGAGGTTGAGTGGAAATCCGCTTGCGATGAGTATGACAAAGAGTTCACCGATATTATTTATGAAAAGGCTGTCGGCGAAGGCATTGCAAAGGTCAATTAAGCTTCACCTTCATTGATAACTTAACTGGGTATTGTTGATTCTGAAAAAAGAAAGAAAGAAGAAGAAGCTTAATTTATTTTCGTTGCTTTTGCTTCTTTTTTTTTCAGATTACAATAAATAGACCGGAGAGAAGAAATGCTTTCCGTCCGCAGACGATTAAGGAGCTTATACGTGCGTTTAATGATGCCAGGGATGATAGTTCAATTGGAGTCATAATTCTCACTGGGAAGGTAATACACTAATACCCAAATTTCAATTTTTCCATAAATTATTGGTATTTTTTTATGTTGACCATAATTCATAATCTGTTGCTATAGGGAACCAAGGCTTTCTGTAGCGGTGGTGACCAGAAGTTGCGAAAAGCTGATGGTTATGCTGATTTTGAACATTTTGGCCGCCTTAATGTCTTAGATCTTCAGGTACAATTTCACATATATTTGTCCTGAATTTGCTCTGAGCTGAGTTTCATGTTTCAACTCCAAAGGGAAAATGCTTTGACAGGTTGTCCCAGTTTGAAAAGCTCTTCAAATGTATATTTAGTTGTAGTATTTAGTAGCAGTATGTAAATTTCTATGAGCTCGAAAAATGTTTAGTCTTCTACCCTATGAATAACCAGGCAATACCTTACATTTTCCCTCCCTGTTGTACTAGTTTTAGCTCCTTTTATCTTTCTTGATATTTGTCTAATTGCAGGTTCAAATTAGGCGACTTCTGAAGCCAGTGATCGCGATGGTAATCTCTTTTATTCCTTACTGCATCGTGCTTTTCCGGTTTGGTTTCAGTCTTTAAATTGCTGTCAATCTTATAAACCAGGTTGCTGGTTATGCTGTTGGAGGAGGACATGTGTTACATATGGTTTGTGATCTGACCATTGCTGGAGACAATGCTATTTTTGGTCAAACTGGTCCCAAGGTGCTTACATATCATATGTTTTGTTATTTCATTTAAAAAGGGCTCTCAAGGAAGACCCTTTCTGTTGCACCAACTTGGTTGATTAATCTTTTTTTTTTCTTGAAGTACCTGTGTTTGTTTGATTCATGGATATGAGGGCAATGCCTCCAAGGAATCTTTAAATATGCGGAGAAACTTAGAAAAATCTGACCATAATGTGTCGAATACATATCTGTATCCGACACTTACTCTCACGTCCTACTAACATAGGTTGATTTTTGTGGTTTCTTCTTTGGATGATAGTGCTGGTGCTAGATCCCTATGTCTCTTTGGATGATAGTGCATGGTTTCTTCATTTTTCTTGAGGTATACGTGTTTGGCTCTTAAGACTGGCACATATTGAAAAGCGATATGAGATATGACCTTTTTAAGATCCTCAAAATACATGTAAAACCCGAAGAAATATTGAACATAGCCATGCCGGTTACATGTAATAGACGAGTCTGAGTAACATACATCTTGCATGCAATGTGAACAGTGTATTTGATCTGGAAACGATTAAACTGGTTGGACCTAAAAAGGCACGCGAAATGTGGTTTCTTGCCAGGTTTTACACTGCCTCCGAGGCAGAGAAAATGGGGCTTGTGAATGCTGTTGTGCCGGTGAGTTGTTTGTCCCTCACCCTTTTTCAATCTACTCACCAAAGTCCTCATTTTGTACTTTGATCCATCGTCCGTTCCCTCAAATGGATAAAGGTTAATTGTCATGGCATTTGATCCAGCTAGAGAAATTAGAGCAAGAAACAATTAAATGGTGCAGAGAGATCCTAAGAAATAGTCCAACAGCAATCAGAGTGCTCAAATCATCTCTTAATGCAGTTGATGACGGCCATGCTGGACTTCAGGTACCGGATCAAATCATAAACACCCCTGTTTTTAACTGTTTAATCCGAAAATCGTTTCATTACCTCTATTTTTCTCCAGGAACTTGGTGGAAATGCCACACTGATCTTTTATGGAACTGAAGAAGGGAACGAGGGGAAGACCGCCTATGTGCAACATAGACGTCCAGATTTCTCAAAGTTTCCAAGGCGACCCTAAAGTTGGATTCGAATGGTTTGTAATTTGGAATCTACCACTTTTTTGTAATCTATTTATGGACGAGTCTTCTCCGGAGAATATGCTTGCTCTTTGATGCAATGTATACTTGTTTATTGCCTGTAAAACAATCTCATGAACAGGCTTAAGTTAATCAAATTTGCTTCATTAAATATAGGCTTTTAACATTATGATTCAACTCAAAGACTCGAGTTTCACACCTCAAACCTAATCTTCATGGCGTTAGATTTGTATTAATCATGACAAACTATTTACAATTTCAAGTAATACTTAAGCTTTTCCTTTTATTTCAAGAAGATTTGTTGTTCTTGTCATTTTATTAATATTTCACGTCATTCAAACAAATCAAAAGCCTTCTTATCATGATCTACTAAAAAATCGATATTTTCACGTGTTATTTACTTAAAATAGCTAAAATAAAGTGTCAAGTTGAGATTAAAAAAATATAAATATCAAATTAAAAGAAGTGAACATATTCAAAGATTAAATATATATTCAAACTTTCATAATGTTGTTTTTCTTAAAATTTGACACAAATTCTAATATATACAGTACATATTATATAATGTGTTTAAACTTTGATCATGTGGATAGAATTATCAAATAATATTGTATGTGATTTGTATATAATTGTAGTTATTTTAAATATATTGAGTAATTTCAACGGTAAAAAAAAATATTATTTACTTAAATATTTCAGATTCATACAATTTCGTCAGCAAAATGTACGTACATTGTCAAGAACTGAAACGATATTATTTTATAATATTAACCAAATACATATTGTCTTAACCACGTGTTAAAATAAATAATCATAAAAATAAATAAAATATGGTAGCCGAGATCACAACCCAAGTACACATGGTAAAACAACTGTGACGTGTCGCTGATTGATTGGAACTAACATGAGAAACTTTATACGCGGCAATTTGGTTATTTTAAAATGACCGGGAAAAGTAGCTGGCCCGGCTCACCGTGCACCCGCGGACCGGATCAGCGGTTCTTGACAACCTTCATCATTTTAAAACCAACCGAATTGTTTATTGCCCCATAGTAAGCTTTGGTCTCGTTTCTCAAAATTCTGTCCGATTCGCTTTTCTTGCGTTCGGTTCAAATTCAAATTTCTCTCCTGCATCCCTCTGCGATTATCTCCAAAGGTAATAGTAGTAATAATAATGATAATAATCTCTATTTTGATTTTTGATCTCGCAAGTGCTGTATGTAAACACTTGGATTTTTTCACTTTGCTTTAGATGTCAGGCTTTGAAACGATTTCATTATCTTTTAGATTTCGTTTTGTTAAGAACGAGTTGTGGCCTGATTTCCTTATTTACTAGTTCATTAAATGGCTTTTGTGTCGAGTTTTGAGAAATTCTTTTGCTTTCCTTTCTGATCTGAATATTCCTCCAATGAACTATTCTAGATCTATTGTTTATATTTGATTTTAAAAGAAAATTCTCGCTGGGGTTTATGGAACTTTCTTCATGGCATTGATTTTTCGCACCTCTGCCTTCAGATTTATTTGATTTGTTGAATTTGAGTATTGATGTATATTTCAGTTTTCTTTGTTTTTTGGTTGGATGGAAGATGATATATGTGAATTTGCATTATATCCAGGGATCAACAGGTAGAGAAGAGAAATGGGACTGACATTCGCAAAGCTTTTCAGCCGGCTTTTTGCCAAGAAGGAGATGCGAATTTTGATGGTTGGCCTTGATGCAGCTGGTAAGACTACTATCTTGTACAAGCTCAAGCTTGGAGAGATTGTCACCACTATTCCCACCATCGGTGAGCGCTCTTATTCCAAATCCTTATTCTTTTTTTTAATCTATGGTTTAGGTGATTATTTCTAAATTTATATTAGCACTGTGTCAATTCTTCTATTCCTATGATTGTTTGCCCTTCATTTGGAAAATGTATGTCTTCAATTTCCATGTACTCCATGGCAAAGACTAGCTTGCAAAGCAGGTAACACCTCTCTCTATTTCTTGTCTTTCTTTTTAGAATTTAGTGTTTTTGGTCCTATGGGACTTATAGTTGCACCTCGAGTGCTGGATTTCATTCCAAGATGGGATCACTTGGCAAGTTGAGCTTGTGATCCAATAAGATGCCTAACTATGTTTATTCCGTCATTAATGTTTTTGTAAGAGGTTTGAAATTGAAAGTCCTCTAAACAAAACATTTACTAACCAAATGCAACCAAAATATTCTCTACAGCCAAAGTGATGGAATAGCATGAATATGCAAAGATCTTTCTTGGGTGTAATCATAAGATAGTAAGAAACACTGTTAGATTAATCTCTATAGTTCCCTATCATGCTCTAAGATCAAGGATTGGCAGAAATCTGCCGTTGGGTTTGAAAAACTAGTGATTTCCTGAAGAAGACTCACCCCCTTTTCTTCTCCTCTTCTGGAGGGCCGAGATGGAATAGAGAAAAAACAGAATGAAACAAGTCAAATTATTGTTATAGAATGGTTGTCGTCTTAGGATTTTGGACCAATGCATTTAATTATTTTTTTGATTTTGTTTGGTACATTAACTTTGAGAGAAAATTACAAATTCCATCACTTAACTTTACTCTTACTCCTATTTTGGTCCTAAAATTATAAAAAAAATTCAATTAAATCACCAAACTTTTTAATTGCTCTTGTTTTGTTTTGTCATCAGTTTCTTCAAGAAGCACGGTTTCTATCAACCTCAGATTAAAAAAATCATTCAAAAGTGCCCTAGTTGCTTTTTTCCGATCTGTTTTATAAGTTTAATTTTAAATCGAATTTGAACTAGAATTGTCATATTGAATTCCCCCCCCCCCGGCGTAAAATTGACAGGTTGGGACTTGGGTTAGTGGAATAGTTTCATGGAATTTGAGTGTGAATCCAGTCCACTGAGATATAGAAGTCTGTAGTTGAATGACGCTGTGTTATGATACAGCAAGAGACGTTTGCAAACAGCCATTGCCATTTGAATTTGAGTGTGAATCCAGTCCACTGAGATATAGAAGTCTGTAGTTGAATGACGCTGTGTTATGATACAGCAAGAGACGTTTGCAAACAGCCATTGCCATTTGCAGAATGTAGATTGTGTCATTAGGTACACCCAACACATTTTGTCAGATTATTCTCTTTTTGTTTCCAATCTTAAGTTCATGCAAGAACTTGTGGATCTTAATAATGTTTTACCGATTAGATTCGTTGAGTCGTTTAGAAGGGTAAAACACGTTTTGTGAGAAATTTTGAGACTTATTGATCTTCAGCAACGACATTCGGCGGTGGCCAATCGTGGTGAGCAGTGGCTGGATTTTGAGTTGGCACCTACGTGGCTAAAAAATTAATAAAAAAAAGTCATGTCAGCACAGAGTTAGAAAGAAAACGGTTGAGTGACCAAAAATTTTCAATGTATAAATTTAGTGATTAGATTGAAACTAAACTTAAGTGATTGAAATAGGAGTGAGGTTAAAGTTGAGTGATGAAATTTGTAATTTACCCCAACTTTTAATGTTTTTGATGCATTGATCCGTGCTCATGATTTGCCATGTATTTCTCATTCAGGATTTAATGTGGAGACTGTGGAATATAAGAACATCAGTTTCACTGTGTGGGATGTTGGTGGTCAGGACAAGGTATGCGTGTTATACTTTGATGTTTAAGCTTTGTTATTCCGTAATATGGAAATAACCTTTTACTTTCTGTCACCGTAATAGTTATGTTTTTTCCCCACATATTCTGATATTTAAATTATGGAAAAACAATAATGTCTAGTTTTTTATTGTTAATTGTGCAGATTCGTCCTTTGTGGAGGCACTACTTCCAAAATACACAGGGTCTCATCTTCGTGGTTGACAGCAACGACAGAGACCGTGTCATTGAGGCCAGGGATGAATTGCATAGAATGTTGAATGAGGTATGGTAGTTACTTTGAAATGGATCAACCTTTGATTTTATAGTTATTGTTTTTGCTTGTGTTTTATTGCTGTCATAACTTACAATCGGCTTTTCAATGCTATTCACTGGCTTCATACAAAATTAAGATTTAGTATCCATACAGAAGGGCAGCCTATTGCTCATGGCTCCTCTATTCTTCCTAAATGTACAATGCCCTACATCCCTAACTCTTTTCAATGACGTCCTTTCTATAACTTGACCCATAAGCAGTTGTGTCAAAATACATCCAACATAAAATGGCATGAGATTTCCATGTTACTTGATCTGTTGATTTCAATGACCATTTCACAACAATGTTCTATTCAGTGAATGCTGTGTTGAAAAATGTGGATTCAAAGAAACAATAGTCTGAAAATACAATTTTTGAAGCAGATGGTTAAATTCAATGTAAACTGTTTGTGTAATTTTTGCTAGTGGTTTTGTTCCAAATATTTATTCACCAAAAGTAGTATGATCACTGTTCTTAAAAGATCATGTTTGATAAATTAAGGAAAATTATTAAATGAAAATGGATGGGTGCTGATATGTCGAAGTTAAATCTACACGACATGAGTTGAGTCTTCTTCTCTTGGTTCAGTGTTGCTGGATTTCATGGTTACCGTGTTTATTTTTATTTATTTTCAGGATGAGCTGCGAGATGCTGTGTTGCTTGTATTTGCTAACAAGCAGGATCTTCCAAATGCAATGAATGCTGCTGAAATAACTGATAAGCTTGGTCTCCATTCCCTTCGACAGCGTCACTGGTAAGCTTTTTTGTTGAGTGTTCCTGCTGTATTGTGCAGTCTTCTTATTCATTGCCACTGGTTTCTTCGGTGGTCTTTTCAGGTATATCCAGAGTACATGTGCAACCTCCGGTGAGGGACTTTATGATGGTCTAGATTGGCTTTCCAACAACATTGCTAACAAAGTAAGAATGCATACTTGATCGAGTGCCACTTTTAAAGCATGAGCTCGGTTTAGAATAAAAATTGAAGTGCTCAGACATTTGGCTAGTAAAAGTTGAGTTTGATTCTCGCGCTTGATTCAAACACTCGATTATCCATGCTTGATTCAAACACGATTATCCATGTTTGTGCTGAAGCTCGAGTTCGAATTGAAGGATTTCAATACTAATTAAAAGTAAAAAAAAAAGCTCAATTAGACTTGTGGGTTAGTTGAGTTTTAAGATGCTTCAATTAGACTTATTCAACAGCTCAAACTACTTGAACTCGACTCAACAATAACGGAGTCGAATTCTATATTCCTCAACCAAATTTGAATAGCATGCCACCCTCTCTTGTTTACTTAAAATGACGTTCGTTTTTGCAGGCCTGAAGCTGTTAAGAAGATTCTTACAATATGAGACCGTCGTATGATTATTATGCCTTTGTTTGCTCTTGGTGATTATGATATTAGTTAGGTACTTATGGCTATATTGTAGCTGGCTGGTTCAATATGTACTACCATTTGGATTTCTTTTCACCGTCTTCTTTATTCTTTTCAATTTATGAATCAGTTTACATTTTCTTGCTATGACTTCACTACCCCATGCTCATACCAGTCTCCCCGGTGGACCGACATCCATTTACGGAAAATTGAGAGGGCAGGTCCCTTTTTCTTAATCAAAGACCAAATGAAACCCAAGCCTCCTTGCAATCTATCACACAAGCACTTGCAATATTTCTTAAAATCTTATTCTGCCTATATGAATTGATATTTTACATGATTAGCTTCTTGTCTTGTAGTCATCTACATTCACTCCCTTTGTTAAATATGTAGGAACGATACTGACGTAAAATTTTCATAAAATTTTAAATGCGAAAATAGATTATACATTAAAATATTTAAATTATACAAAAAAAAATTAGGGGTGGTCGTCCCGCCAATCTCTCCTTAATCCATCTGTTTAGTATCGAAGAGTAAGAAGCATTTCCCACAATCGGAAATGAAATAAATAATATCTTCAATAGTATATTCTCTCTTTAGGCAAAGCATATTCTAAAGTAATATGTGAGAGAGACTAATTTGTGGAATAATATCTTATATATTTAATAGCGTTCAATTTTACCTATTATAAATGAATAATATGTTGTCACAACACAACGAAATAAAATTAGTGAATAAACGATCGTAAAATACATCTCATTGCGAGCTCGTAATACCAAATGTGAGTATTTATTCATGTTTTAAAAAAATGTGTGTATGTATAAACTTATATTTAGTCGTTAATGAGCCATAATAGTCAATGACAAAAAGGCCCTCGTAAAATATATAATGTGCTCGTAAAATATTACTCTTAAATTATTATTATTATTATTTTTCTTTTCAGTCCTTAAAATTTTATCTTGACTAATTTAGATCGACTCGTGTTACACAGCTAGTTTTAATAGGTGAATCTCTCGATGATTTTTTTGAATACGCAAGATTTCGAACTCGAAACCTGCTTAAACTGTAACCCCCTAGACTCAGCCTAGACGTTATGCCCAAATCTAGACGGTCACATATCGCATTTAGAGATTCTTTTCATATTTAAAACAACGTTAAAATCCTTATAACAATATGATATGAAATTTATCTATAATAAGGATTCATACGATAAATTTATATATACATATATCAAAAAACTGTATGAAACATTTACGAAACAAAATACCTGTAATACAGATATATCAAAACGCTAACAAAACATGTGTCATCAAAGTATAACAAAGAGGCATATAGAGATATACAGTAGTACAAAAGTAGGTGTAGTCGATCTTCTTGATACCAAGTCTGCTAGCCTAGTCTACTATTATATGAAAATGTTAAAATTTACGGAATGAGTTAAATCAGTTTATCAAACATGTTTTAAAAACATGAACACTACTCCCATCTGATCACCATAATGTGTACGTTCCCCAGAACCATACACCAACATGTACACCCAATAAGGGTCTACCTGTGCACAAAGCAGAGGAGCCTACGGTAAGGTCTTATCATGTGCACAAAGCAGAGGAGCATGCAGTAAGGACTTACTCTGAGCACAAAATCGAGGAGCCTGAGGTAAGGACTTACCCTAAGCACAAAGCCGAGGAGCCTGCAGTAAGCATTAAGGTCTTACAAGTCATAGACTAGGCCTGAGATACTTCCTCCAATAAAACCCCCAATGACATAAATAACATGTATGTAGTCGAATGAAAATGGTAGTTTAATCCATTAAAACATGAAAATATTTCATTTTCAAAAACCAGATACGAAAATACGGTAACGCAGAGATCATATAAGAAATATACAGTAAATCAGATATTAGATAAATCATGTTCAGAAAAAGTATTGTGTGTTAAAAATATTCAGTATTATCAGAAGTCTCAAGCAATTTAGACAATAGTTGAAAACAATAATGTAACACCAACAGGAAACACACATGTATCGGTCTGAGAAGTCTGATAAGGAAGCCTACTACTGAGTCTGTCGATCATAATTAGTGGCACTGCTAGATTCTACGAATCGGAAAATCCATATCGGAATCCTAATATGAATAATATTAACCTTTATTTAAATAATTTACGAAAACCTATGGGTAACTCTCGTAGAACGCGAATCGAGTGGGTTTGACGAACGAAAAACACCAGACCTAACTAACCCTTGGTTAGGTGAAACATGAGTACTTTCATAAAAAATATCTTCTTGGATCAATTCCATAACCAAATCTTAATTAAATAAGCAAAAATGCTAAAATACTAAGTATTTTTGGGTTAACGGGATCAATTTGGGGTTTCAAGTCATAGTTTGGCAAAACAAACTTCGGAATCGAGCTCAGGACGTCGAAAAAAAAATTAAATATGACTTTTAGAAAATGTTAACTTTTTGGGTTAACGATCAACGGCCGAATTGACCCATTTCCAAGCAGTCCACCAGGCGGTGTACTTCCCCATGCACAGGGGCGGCGCATGGGGTGCGTGCATGGCCTACGGGGGTCGGAAAAATTCTAAAAAAAAGTCCTAAGTGTGTTTTAAGGGGTTTTGAGACACTTACCAAACTCAGTTCACAACATTGAACGGCGGAAAGCTCGATTTTGAAACATTATAAACTTGATATTCCTCAACCCCTCACACGCCGGCGACAACAGATACAAGGACACTGGTGGACTCGAGACGACGCAAGGAATACGATGGTGTAGGAGGTGTAAAACGAAGCAACGATCGACGACGATAAAAGATTTGTTTCTAAAAGAAGAAATATTAAGGAAAGAGGAAATATTAAGGAGAGAGAAAATAAATAATTTGAAACATTTCCTGATTTTGGGTTATATAAACCCTAAAAAAGAAAATAGAATAATCACATTATAGGCCCTCCATCTTTAGTTGCTTTTTGAATCTGGATATGAATTTAATTAAAACTTCACTTTGGTCCCCAAATTAAATTAAACTTCAATTTAGTCCTCGAAAATTTTTTAAGAGAATTTTAGACCCTATTTTAAGGTTTGACATAAACAATATCAAGCCGCTTAAAATAATAACAAATTCAATCAATTGATACATGATAGAGTCACCTTCTAATTGATACTTAAAATATAAATAATATTCGATCTTGCTTATCTTATCTTATACTCGTCTAATAGTCATAAATTAATATAAAATTAAAAGAATTTATCCTATATAACTAGATTCTATCTTATATATACATACATATATTATAGACTCTCTGACCAACTTTTCAAAGAAAATAATAACATAAAAATTAACAAAAAGCAATAAAAGGATAATAATAACAACAATTATAATATTAATTTGAGTTCCATTTATAGATAATTTGAGCATGAATTTATCCCACTCGTTGCTTCTATTTAAAGAGGCCAATGGCTCCATTTACGGCTCAGGAAGTAATAGGTTAATTTCTCCCACTCTCCTCAAAACCTCATCTTCTTAACCCTTCCCCATAAAAATGGCTCTGGTAATGCCCATCGACGGCGTTTCGACCGAGGCTAAGGTTAACCGAAGCTACTCAAGTAATGAAATAAAGCTTTCGTAACATTTTTAGCCGGTAATGGTGATTACATTGTCGCAATCTTGCCCGACGTCTCTGAGGAGCACCCAGAGATTTTGTGATCTCAAGGTTGCATTGTTCGGGAAATCGAACCTATTTATCCGCCTAAGAACCAAGTTCAGTTAGCGATGGCTCATTTTTTCATCAATTACTCCAAGCTTCGCATTTGGAACGTAAGTTGAAGCAAACCAAATTCATATCATTATAAATTGATGATGTGTAAATTAATTCTGGTTGGAAGCGTAGGTGGACATTCAATAATTTTTATAACTCACACTATTATTAATACGAACTAAAATATAAATACGATATAAATACTAGCTACAGGTAGTTTACAAACACAGCTCCGTTATTAAAAATTTATTTCTATCACTCGTATTTATTTCTTTCACTCTTACTCACATGTACATACATTAACAATCTAAACTAAACACACGCACTACATCAAAAGTGTTCTGTAGCGGCATTTTAAGGGAAAACGCCACAACATTTAAGCATATCGTGGTGTTTACAATACAAACGCCACAAAATGATACTTTAGCGGCGTTTTTTAAACAAAACTGTAATAGAGGGTAATTTAGCGGCGTTTATAGCTCAAACGCCGCAATAGAGATGTTTATAGTGATGTTTTTTTAACAAACGCCGTAATAGAGTGGTAATTTAGTGGCGTTTTAAACAAACGCCGCTATAGTGTTGTTTATAGTGGCGTTTTTTCAACAAACGACGCTATAGAGAAGTAATTTCGCGGCGTTTAATAAAAAATGCCGCAATAGTATTATTTATAGTGGCGTTTGTGCAAAAAACGCCGCAAAAATATGAACTACAATGACGTTTTTTAAAAACGTCGCAAAAGGGTCAATATATGCTCCACACTTTTCTCCTGCCTAATCCCTAAAATCATTTCAGTGCTACTTTCCTAAAAGGGATTTCTCTCGTACAACAAAGACCCTCACACAATTACAGCCGACGTCGTTTTTTGTATGTCCCGACGACCAAATTTGCCCTCTCACTAGCGAACAATTATCTCACGATTGCACGGTTTGATCCCTTCTCTCACTATTGAACTTTTTCATTTATTTTTTGTTGGTATTTTGAAAATGGGGAAACCCAGAAAGCTAACATAATGGAGAAATATAATAGCTTTCGAATAGGAAAAGAATATCTATACATATTGTTTTACTAGTTTACTGCTTGGGAGAAGTGTTTTTTTGCTTTCGAATAGAAAAATAATTGCTTTTGAATAGAAAATAATAGCTTTTGAAAACGTGAATTCTATAGGAAGAGAAAGATAAGTTATTCAGTAATAGAAAATATAGTCGGAATGTCCACGTGGCGTCTTTGCTCT